TTCTTCATTCGTAAACAGTAAATCTTCACTTTCTCCAGAGCCTGGAGTGGTTTCCGTAGTTTTTTCACTTTCAGAGCATGTCTTACCCATCCATCCGTCTTGGCATTTGAACTAAATAAAAGAGAAAGATTAGCAAATCACCGTAAATGACTAAAAAAAGATTAAATTTGACATGAGTACTATCCTACATACCGAATAATTGGCAGATAGCGTTGGCCTATTAATTTTCCTTTCCCCGTGAATTATAAAACTATGTTGGCCCTGTCGGACTGCAAGACGATTTTGAAACATGTCTATAAAATCATCTCGGCTGTTGTTGTTCCGATCATGAAAATTAATGAAGAAGAATAGCGATTTAACAGTTGACTCTACTTCGAAGACCATTGGGTTGTCAAAATCAAAGAATGTGTCATTAAAAAATATTGTATTCTCATTTGTATAAGTCGTTGCGTTGATTCCTTTAGGATTTTTATAATAGACGTATGAACATGTACTTGAATGACCAAGGCAGAAGTAGGAGAGTGATACGTCGCAAGCCCATCTATCATGACCTGCTGCAGAATTATCGCATCGTCTTCCCGTGCTGATTGCTCCTTTCGTTTTCAAAGAGTTAAACTTGAGTTCCATAACATAGTTAGCCGTAGTTATGGAGAATAGAAGAAATATAAACGTTACAGATAAGGCAAGCATCCCGACTGAAGGAAATAAAAAGAGAATTTGTTTATTTTTTGCAAATAAACACTTTTTGGTATTTATTTTAAAAAGGCATTTAAAGTCTAAGGTATCGCAATTTTTTTCATTATAGTCTCCCTTTTTTCCCTCTACTTTTGTTTGTCATTGACAAAAAATAAGAATAAAAGAAGAGAGATGAAAAGGAGATATACACGTCAATAAGTTAGAAATTGCCTTTACGAACTGTATACTTTTTAATTCATTACACGCTGTACAATTTGATTGTTCAGCTAAATCGTACACGTTTCGTGTACCTTGTAAATGTTTTTCCTTATATACTCGTCCCAGACTATTCTACACCCATCAAAACTAAAACTCCCACGAGGCCAATGATATATGTATAACACCGTATATATTGTAGATATATATCTCAGTATATACAGTAGTTGTATATAATTATATATAGAATATACTGTGCATAGAAAACTTTCGGTCTATTAAATAATACTTAATAGCTCCGTATCAAACTATTGTGCTACGATTTTTAATAGCTCTTGAACTACTTTTTAATTGTGCCACCTTATTACACAATGTCCAAAGCCACATGTTAGAATAAAAGTTACGCAATCTACTTTTTTTTCTCACTCATGAGATAAAATCTATATTACGAACAATAAAAAAAGAGAAAAACTAGAAGGAACATGGTCTTGAAAAGTCTGAAATAACTTTGGACCTTGATGTTAAGCATACAATTGTCAGTACGACATAAATACTGTATTGTCTCTTTCTGTAGAATTTTCCATATGCGTTTGGGACAAAAGGATAACATCTGTTCTGTATTTTGCAATTAAAGTTACGTCCTTCTACTAAAGTATATAATATTTTCACCGATGGGCTTCAATTATGTTCAATTGTAAATATAAGCTCGTCCCCTGTCTTTGTCTCTTTTTTCCATCTTTTAATCAACAACTTTTGATCAAGAAACAATTGACAAGAAGACATCGATAGACATATATCGCTATCTATCAGTAGTTTTCCAATCAATTTCCTACTCCTTATAAAACTGTGTAGATTATTAAATGACGTATTCTTTTCGTTAAATCCTTACATTTATAATGAAAGCGTTACTTTCCAATTATCTTTTCATTCGAAAACTGTTCACGTGATACTGAAACTATATCAATTCGATAAGCCTTTACGCAATTGACAGTATATTTTTTACTACAAAAGAGTATTTCTATTAATTATACACCTGTTGTTAAAAAGAGGCAGATGATTTTTTTTCTTATTATAGAAACGTGAGAAAGAAAAGAAAACAGGAAAAGTAAGAGAGAATGGGAGAGTCGGAGAGGGAAGATCGAAGAACTCTATATCCTAGTACATTTATAATAATTTTATTAATTTGAATTATTTGAAGAGAACGTATTGATAAGCCATTGCATTACATATAATTAGTCACTAATTTGTTGATATCTAAGCCTTTTCGCATATTAAAAAAAAGGTTCATTCTAAAAGAATATACAGTAGATATTAAACATAGTTATTGTTAAATATAGTACACGTACTCTACTTGTCTATTTAAATAATACACATAGTATAATTTCTATATATACTGTATATATATATAAATATATACAGTATATATATATTTAGTATATGTTTAAATTAATAAGTGCAAATTTTTCTCTCTTTTCATTCATTAATGAAGCATTGATTTGCCCCTTTTTAACAGCTTGCTAAACGAAACATGAACATAGGTTTAATTAATCGTAATTTAGAAACATTAACATATTTATGCTGCAAAATATGCTTTTGATATATTTTTGTAATAGTGGCACACATAGCCCGCATTAAATATGCTAATTAGCTTTCCATCTTTTGCTTCCTGTAACAGAAAAGTACAATGGACAAACAGAGATTATTGTAAGTGACTTTTACAAAAGCGATGATTCTTTTTACGAGACTATTGAATGGGAAAATTTGTATTCTTTCTTTTTATGGGAAAAAAGAATGGTTGAAAGAAGAAATTTTTTTGCGTAGTGTTGGCAAATAACTGACTAGAACCAATTATTTTTACACAGCTAACATAGAGAATAAACTTAAAAATAGTGAAAGTTAATTTAAAGTAGAGATATGAATAATGTAGCTTTTAGAAAGTATGCAAAAGTTAACATCTATAAAATATTCACATATGGTCCAACTAATAAAAAAAAATTCACGCATCATTTTACAAAAGCTTTAACCTTGAAAATGAAAGAATTCACTTAAAGTCGTTGACAGTCTCGTAAAAACTCTTATTATAAGAAGAGATATTGTAAATTATTGTATATGAACTGTTCCCTAATTATTTCTCATTGAGGAAGAGAGAGAGAGAGAGAGAGAGAGAGAGAGAGAATATTCTTTCATAACTTTATTACGTCTTTTAATAAAAAAAGAGGAAAAGTGTTAATTTTCTATTAATAATTTATCATATAAAACTAACAGAATTTTAAGTTAAAAACATTAAAATTGACTTTGTAATCCTTCTCTTTCTATAAAACATAAATAAATCATTGATTTTTGAAAGAAAATGAAATAATTTAAAAAAAGTGGCACATTTTTTTAACACCTTACAAAAGATTGATTTCACGTTATAAAATAATAAAACCTACCCAAAATAGAATTTAACAGGGAGAAAGAGAGGCAACGAATAAATATATTTTCTTAGCAGATATATTTTCTCTCACTCACTCTCTTTCTCTCTCTCTTTCTATTTATATATATTAATACATACATCAACAATTTCACATAAAGAGGAAGAGGAAGAGAAAGGGAATATAATGTAGAAAATAAGGAAAGGTGGGAGTAGGGTAGCAGCTAATCAACTAATACATTCTATCATTTTCTTTTTGTATTTCTAAGAAATAAATCTTTTGATTATCTTTAAAAATTTGTATTTTTAGATTGGTGACAACGTGAGAAAGAAACTAATAGCTTTAATAAGATTCCTAATACTATATTAAATGTAAAAATTAATGACATAGATATCGAGATAGGGAGAAAGAAAGAAAGACTGACCGAGGAGAGAGAGAACGAATAGAAAAAGAAAAGATTTCTTTTGGACTTTTTCGAAAATCGGTGAAGAAATAGCTCAAGAGCCAAAGCGGTACAAAATGTGGAAAAAAGAAAAACATTATTGATTTTCTTTTTTCAGTATTTAATAATTTATAATTATATAAAAAAAAAGAGAACATTCTCTTTTGTGTTTAATGCTTTCATGACTAGGGCTAAATTGGTCCTATGGTGAAACACTGCGGGAAAACAATTACAAATATAATACTTCTATTAGAAAACTTTATCTGTTCACTGCATCCTTCTTTTGTAAAACTTACCTTGTTCGGTAGTCTCAGGTTCAAGAGTAGGATGGTACTAAATCTAGAATTGGCAAAAAAAAAGAATACTAGAAGTACGCGTGTTTTCGTATAAAAGAAATTGTAGATACGAAAATTCTCCACACCAAAGTTAATTGCTGACACATCTTAATAATTTCCATTGATATATTTAATTAATAGAATTAATCGGCTAGGCGACAATTATATGAATAATGTGGTGAGATTGCCTAATTTCACCTTTTTCCCCGTTCATCTTAACACTTTTTCAACAAGAAGGAAAAAGACTATAACATACAAACTGGAAAGATCAGAGAGGAGATGAAGAAAAGTTAAATTAGAAGAGGTTTTGATTAGTATTTTGATAGTTTGTGTGTTTATTTTATCACGTAATCTATATTCATTGTAGGAATATCTATCCATCTATATTTACAAACAATAAATGCAAACTACTTTTTTCGAGTTTCTTTTTATAGTCACGCAAAACTCGACATTTTCTGTTAGTTTTTGTCACACATCCTCTTTGATCCCTCTTTAGTATCATAGCCGCTTCAAAGTCTTTTTCCAAACGAAAGACTAAATTGATGCATGAATATAAAAGAAAAAGGTCAGGGTTAATCGGATATACGTTATAAGGATACTTGATCGAAAAAAACAGAAAAGGAAAGGAGGAAAGCGTAACTTTTATTGGGTGAGCTAAGAAAATCGACAAAGATAATCATTCAAATGGCTTTTTCATGAATAAACAATTACGAACACATGCCAAATTGAGGGAGAATAGTCGACTAATCACTCATTTATTTTACTTGTATTAATCTCTCTCTCCGAATATTCATCAATATTTATTTATTATCGGACTTGAACAATAATTTGTTACATATTTTTCGTGTCACGTGATTTAAATATTAATTTTTAGAACATGTAAAAAATTATATTATATAAACAAAATCTATCGGTTTAGCAACAGTTTCCTCTTCTCCCACTCTCTCTCCCTCTTTTTGATCGCGTGAACCGATAGATGGCAAACACGATGATATAGTACGCATGCGCTAGAACAGAGTCGATACTCGAGTAAATCGGGCAAACTCGTCTAGTCGGCGTCGCGAATAGAAAGAGAGGAAGGAAAATATTACCTCTTCGGGACTCTCAGATCGATAGGAGCCATCTACATTCTTAGTGGACAAAAAGTGAAGAAAAATAGGCAAATTCTTCAAGAACAGACAGGAAATTCTCAAAATTTTCCTCTTATGCAGTCATGACTCATTCCGAGGATGAAAAAGCAGAACGTTCGAACGCTATCGTTAATCGTCTGCACCTTCACTTATTTGTTAATTGGAGCCGCCGTTTTCGATGCTCTGGAGAGCGAATTCGAGACGGAAGAGAGAAATAAATATTTAGCCGAGGAATTGGAATTGAGGGTGAGGTATAATATAACGGATGATGATTTTCGTAATTTGACCAAGAACGTAATCAAGTCGGTACCGCATAAATCTGGAATTCAGTGGAAATTTGCTGGAGCGTTCTATTTTGCGGTCACTGTAATTACGACTATCGGTAAGTTCAGTTTTTCGATTTCCTTTAAATCTATATAAGTTATTAGAGATTGTTGCTTTTCGTCGAGGGACATATGTTTGATCTGTAATAACCGTAAATAATTAGACTTACATAGTATCTAATAATTTATCTTTTATTGCAAATGTATTAATATTTGGCCCGTAAATCTTTATAATATGATTCCTTGAAGAGAAAGAGAAGAAAAAAGAGAAAAAGAGAAATCCTTCCGTTTAGACCCAATTTCCATTTCATCAACAGTCCATCCTTAATTAATTCTCTATATTTAACGTGAAATGCGCATGTAGAGTAATGGAAAATCTTTATTTATTGTACAGTATAGGATATCTTTTAACTCAACTTGTAAACATAAAGAGGTAAATGAACTGATAAAGTTCTATCACAAGCAAAACGAAGCAAAGGTGAATTACTAAAATAAAGATGATTAATTTGCGTAAACCCATTTGACTAAGTATCTATCAAACTAATATCTCTTTCTCCCTCTGGCACTCACTTGCGGGAGTGAATGACCAGGATCTTTCGTAATAGGAAAATATCTTTTCATTTAACTATTCTTCTCATTTTCAAAGCCTCAAGCAAAACGGAGGATGGAGGAAATTAACGCTTAGCGCATGCAACTGCACAGGATACATAGAGTAGACCTTATTTACTGAAATAGATACATTCAACTGACAGTTTCCCTGCGTTATATAACGGTTCTAATCTATCAAAATTTGGCATTCAAAGATGCAATAAAACTTGACTTTGACATTAGAGTGTTTTGAAATCCGACAGTCTCTTGCTTCTCTTCACTCTTTTTATATATTTTTTTTTATCATCTGCGCTATTCTTTATACTGTTGATCTTTAAAGATTTTAAAAAAATGAGGTTATTCACCTAAATACTGAACGCTTTTAAATGAAACTTTTATTCTTACATAGCTTAAATTCTTTTACAAATAAAAAGAATAAAGGAAAGTCAACTAAAGATTAGAAAATGACTCTTTTGTTAGAAAATTGAAATGTGCAAGGGGATATCTAACAGAGGTTATTCTATTCCTTTAAAGTTTCCGTTCCAAAGCGATTTTCTCCTTGAAAATCGTAGAAGGAAAAAGGATATTTGGATTATTTATTCCATTTTGCCTCAAATTATAAATGATACATAAGGCCTTTCGGCAAAAGAGGACGCCAATTTATTTGTCTATAAATCTCTAGATATCTTATTAGTTAAAATGATAACAATATGTTAAAAGCGAAAATAAGATGGAAATAATTGAAAAATCCTCCAAAAACCGTCTAAACTCATTAATAAATCATCTAGTATCTTTTATATAGATAATGAATAAACATAAGTATCGCGTTTTAGGAGAATAATATTTCCTTTGTTTTTTGTTAGTCATTAGTGAAATAAAATCAACAATAGTTTAGGTTAGTCTTATAGATGTTTCTTTTTATACAGGCGAGATATAAATAGAAAGATATATTGATATCCTGATACCTTTTGTTGATATCTTTTCACGATATTCTTATGATTGTAAGATGAAAAATTACGCATAAGGAATTGCTTATTCGTTCTAATTATTTGAATTGAGTTTATTTAAAGTAGTTTAGCACGCGTTTGTATTCAGAGATAGTATAATAATAGTATACCTATGAAGAATAATATATATATATACTGTATTTATTTATATATAGCGATAAATTTGCTTTATTATGCATTTTCTACCGAAAGATTTATGGGTTCATTCAGTTTGTCTATCAAGCCTGTTTAATAATTAAAAAATATTACTTCATTATCTATTAGATAATTTCTTCAGTTTGTAACTTTGTATTCTTATACTGTAAATTCTATTTTACAACTCGCTCAATCAAGAACCAAAAATAGTGATAACGTGCAAATAATTCCAGTAATTAGATAGACACATATTCCGGATAAAAATCCTTTTAAATGGTTAGTGATCTTCCATCATTGCTAGAAATTGTCAATAGACCTGTTTTGTATAAATTAAAGTAATCTATTTAGTTTATTAATATTAATTCGAGGCTTAAATATTTCAAAGCTTTCTTACACAGTAAAAACTAAAGGCATAAATCGACTAGCAAATGATCGACAAGATCTGTAGGCAACTGATGGAGAAAATCAATTATATAAACTCTCCCAAAACTCAACAGTCCACTCCTCAATGTTATTTTTATGGTTCATTTATAGTGATATACGTAAGAATACTATTGCTTTTCAAAGAAATTTTATTTCACCGCCTGCAATTTTCACAGCTGCTATAATTAAAAGAGACTAAGCAGCCCTCTAACAGATATTAATCAAGCAAACTCACTTATGATACAAACATAGTAGCTATTTACATAACAACAAAAAGAGCCGAAAATATTCTTGTTTTGGTTGTAAATCTTGCTTCCTTTCCTTTCCTTCGTATGTTTCAAGATGAGAAAAACCAAATAAATGTTACTCTTTAGGGGAAAGAAATTACAAGGTTATCGCCAATAAGCCAAAGTGCTGTTTATAGTGAATTGATATTTTCTCTAGCTGTTGGTAATTTCAGGCAAAGAAAAGAGAAATATGAAATTCCTTAACTGCTCGATTATTTCATTTAAAATCTTATTTCTAAGGAAGAATAGAGTCCAATCGAGTCCTATTTTTAGACTCACTCTATATAAAAAGAAATCACAAGGGTCTATACTGGTATATATACAGTATATACATAAATAAGTGTATTTATAAGTATATATACATATAGATGCGCGTGTGTGTGTAAATTTACTACATATTAAATATAAGACAAGTGAAAAAAATGGATCTCTAACATCACTTGGGTCTGAAAAGTATTTTATCGATCTTTCTTTTATCCTGATTAATCATTGATTCGTAAATTCATACTATATAAAAGCTTATAGAGGCTTACCTTTGCAACATATATATATATATATATATATATATAGATGCATATCCGTAGAGGAGTGCATCCCATATAATTTTTATCGCAACTCCTTAAACTCTTTCTTCTCCTTCAAGGAAAAAATTGAAAAATAATCTTCAAAATTACCTTTTCTATATATTTTAATAACAAAAACAAAAGAACAAAATGAAAGAAACAAAAAACACACAACGTAGAATTTGCTACTTATTTTTCATGGTATTTACTTAAGGGTTAGAGGTTACTCTTTACAGCAATTTATCCTTCATAACAATCAATGATGGACTTGTGCGTTGCTCTGTGAAAAATGCTTCCATCCAGCGTAAATCACTAATAACCGAAAAGCAAGAAATAAGGTGATGGGTGGGTGCGAAAGGAGACTTGTCGATCGATTGAAATTATCCAATAAAAAACTGTTAGGTAGAAATTAGGGTAATTTCTATGTAAAACCAGTACAAAATAGGCAAAAGGGAATTTTCTTCTGCCGTGGCTTCTTATATTTGCGAAGCACTCATATACGGCAACGAGAATTACGTGACGAACATATGCTTATCTATATTACAGTAGGCTGTCTGTAATAAAAAAAAAATCGATTTTTTTCTCCTCTTCTAACAGGTTATGGTCATTCTGCCCCGCAAACTATTGGAGGGAAAATATTTTGCAGTGCTTATGCCCTGGCCGGAATACCTCTGACTTTAGTTATGTTCCAGTCGATTGGTGAGCGTTTAAACGTTTTTATAACGTTTCTCATGAAACATGGAAAAAAGTGTCTCAAGATGAAAACAAGTGACGTTTCTCAAACCAATTTGATAATAGTCAGTTTAAATCTGTGCACAGTCGTTTTAGCCTCCGGCGCCTTTGTATTTTCCTATTACGAAGGATGGAATTATCTTAATAGTTTTTACTATTGTTTTATTACGCTGACGACCATAGGATTCGGCGATTACGTAGCCTTACAAAAAGACAATCTATTGCAAAAGAAACCAGAGTATGTGGCTTTCTCCTTAATCTTTATACTTTTCGGTTTGGCTGTGGTAAGTGCAGCTATGAATCTACTTGTTCTCAGATTCTTAACAATGAATACGGAGGACGAAAGAAGGGAAGAAATGGAAGCTGCTGCTGCTGCAAGGACAGCAGTAAGACTGGAGGGTGACGTCATCACAGCTAATGGAAGCGTGATTAGCGTACAGCAGGAACGTGTTGCAGAATATGTTCCGGATAACGTTAGTGTTTGTTCGTGTTCATGCTACAATATCAGGGATGGATGGTTTAGAAGGAGCTTTAGGAGGAGGTATACTGTAAGGAGATCTCCGGGTAAAGTTGTTCATTTATTGCCAATGATAAAATTGAAAGAAGACAGGGATTCAACGGAATGGATGAATAAATATTTAAGAGAGAAAAGAGCTTCTGTGTAGAGAGGAAACTGGAAGAAAAAAAGTTGAAGAAACAAACAAACATATAACAAACACAACTATTTTTCCAATTTCATCGTTGATGTTGACTACTGGACTTGTTTTTCTTAGCAGAAAGATAGAATTTTTATGAAACGGCTGCCGAAAAACTCTTTGTATTATTTCAACAGTTTTACCACAAATTAATGCTGACGTTAGCAATGAGATTAAACTAACGATCTTGTCTAGAGCTGATAAGAAATTCGTGATCAGCGTACTTTTGCTAGCTACTACATTTACCATTGATTTGGGATAAAAGAAGAAGATGTCTTTCATCCCTTCTTTTCCAACTAGGAGAGAGATTCAATTCAAAGTTTAATTCCTCAAGACTCTTCTCTATTATTATTATCCTTTGAAAGAAGATAGCTACAAGACGATACATGGTACAATCCAAGTTTTAATGAAATGCGAAGTGACGCCATATCTACTAATTAACCACAACGTGATAGAGGTAATAAACAGGCTACAAAAAACATATAATGGGAGAATGTGTGTACATATCTCTATATAGGTATACAACGTCTCTAATCAGTACATATACATGTCTGCAGTTTGTAAGACTATATTTGTTTTCATATAAAAGCATATACATATGCCAAAATATCTATAAATATGTATAGGCTTATGTATACATTCAATTGAGTAAATGATAATATGTTACTTTTGATATGTCTATACATCTACATTCCCCTCATATATACTATGGATATATGCAAATCTTTTTGCACTATATATGTATAGTATATTTTCAAAAGTAGATTATTTTAGTGTATATGTATTATTATACAGTATATAAGTGTATTTACTATATTTTAGTCATGCTAAGATAAAATTTTTTTGTTTCCTACTGTACATACTCTCCTATTAACTCTACAAACAAGTAAGATAGCGAAGAAGGAAAACTGTACCTGATATATGCGTTTCTACTCTCAACTCTCTCCCTCTGTTTTGTTTCTATATATCTATCTCTCCCTCCCTCCTCTCCCAATTTCTATATCTAAAACATGCATTATTGAAGCAATTAGGTTAGAATAACTCTTTTTTAACAAAGAAAGACTATCAGTAAAGAAAGAAGTATATATATACTAATATATATACTGTATATAAACAAAAGACAATGTTAACATAAAATATATAAGAAAGTTTGTCAGTTTCTTGCCTATTAATGCAAAACAAAGATGAAAAAGGAACAAAGGAGAGCAAACTATGTTAATATATTTAAATATATATATATATATATATATATATATCTCCATTCAGTATATATTTGAAAGATTCAATTGATTTTAATACTAAAAGAAAATGTAGGAGAAATTTTAGTTATGAGGAAAAATAGAGAAATTACGATATTTGATTGAAATTTAGAAAAAAAGGATATAGATTATATACAATAGTAACTTTAATAGCTTGTTTATCATTATTATCCGATAAATTGATGTGCTGATAGATTGTTTTTTAAGGTATGACAAAGTGTTTATTTTGAGAATTCTGGCAGCTGCTTTGTATAGGAAATGACCATTAACCAGAAAGTGTTTTTTTTGTTAAGGAAGACTTCTTAAAAGAAAACAACGACTATTATTCTTTCTGGTAGCTGATCTATCTGTTAAGTGGGTGCTCCTGATCCATTTAACGGAAAAAATTAAGTAGAAGATATACATGAGCCTTTTCTTCAAGATCAAAGCGTATTAATAGCGTGACTCGCATACGTATCAATGAAATTTAAATGATTTATCATCATCAACCGTAAAATTACGGTGGTAATATTTGCTTCGAAAAAAAAGGGGAAAAATATGAAGAGAATTCAATTAATTATGTTTAATTGATTTAGGGTAAACGTTAAAAATATATGCATAAGATTCTATGTATATATACACATATATTCATATATTACCTTTTTTACATTTTCCGTTCAAGTATGTATAAGAAAATCAAACTGTTTCACTTCATCAACAAACGAGTTTTTGTATGCCTCTCTTCAAGTTTTTTGTAGGTCTATTCATATAGAAGTATAGAAACTACATTGAAATGTATTATATACTATGGCTCTTTTATGATATATACATCAGTATATATATATATATGTATATATTATTCTACTGTATATTCAAATTCTATATAGCTCATTCGTTATATCGTGTACATTTTGTATATAATGTATAAGAATCATTATATGTTATGTATTTATATTATATTTAAGACAGTGAAATCTTTGGTAAATATGAAAAGAGTGAAATGCAAGTGCCGTCTGATTTGATTTCATATCCTAAGAGAATCTCTCCTGCTGAATTTTTGTTCTGTTAATGCCACTTTTTTTATGTCACGCTGAGAATCTTTGTTAAAGAAACAAGAAAATGAAAAAATTGGCCAAAACATGAAAAAATTATTAAAGATATGAAAAAAAAACAAAAAATTAATGATTTTATTTGTTTTTTCTTCTTTCTTTTAGTTCTTTTAGGCAAAAACTAGAAAGATTGATCTTTCTCTTTTGTCTCTCTCTTCATTTCTTCTTTTCTTCCCTTCATTATTTTTGGTTCTTCAATTCACGAATTTTATTTATTATTTGATAAATAATAAAAAGATAATTTACACGGTTAAAAACTCTATTTGAGACGGATTAAATAAGAGATTTACTCAATAATTAGTTTTATTCATAGTGTTTTTTATCCTAACTATGATTTATGCACTGCTTTTTAATCGTACGACCACAAATGTACTGCATATTTTGCAGTACATATTTTATAATTGTATAAATATATATGTTTTTATGGTCATTCTATCTTCGAACCACACGTTGCGGAATATTTCCTGAACAAGGGGCATCTCTCCTCTTTTCTTATTAATGATATCATATACACTCTTTACATATAGATGAAAGATTACTTGAGACTATTTTCATTTGGCTTTCTTGAATTTCTTGTTAGAATTGGATAACTTTGATAAATTATATAGTTAGACTCTGGACTGATCGTTCATCGTTTACTTGTACAGATATATAGACAGAATCCTGTAACTATATAGCTTACATATGCCATTAGATAAACAAATGATTATTTGTCTGCAGTAAATTGTGTAAATCAGATATAATGTGGCCTATTACGAAGAAATTTTTTATAAAAAACGAGAAAAGCAAAAGGACGGAACAAGATACACACATACATTTCTACGGATAGACAGATAGACAGAGAAAAGAGATAATACTCGGAATATAAATGGTAGGATAGATGAGAAGAAAAAAGGATATAAAATCTTATTATTTCATTAGTTGTCCCCTGTAATATTTTTTTAGGACTAAATGTTTCGCGTGCCTTATCATCAATCGGATTTAAAAGGGGGAAAAATACACAATCACGTGACTACTCCCAAGTCTTTCTCTAACAAATTTATTTAAAAAGTTTTCTTGAGCCTACAGAAAAATGCCACAGGGCACGACGCTTTTCCTTTTAGATCTCGTAAGAAACATTCTTATAAAAGTATTTTCACGCGCTGTAATATGAATCCTATCAACCAAACAGTTTTCTTGCATTTATGCCATGATAATGAGATAATGGAGATAGAGAAAAAAATCATTAAATTTCTCTTCTTTCATGAAAAATTGTATCGTTAGTGGCGCCAGCCAAACATAAATCTTGGTCTTTTATTAAGACAAGTGAGGCGAGAAAAGGACTGGTTGTTTTCAAGACATATCTTCAAAGAAGTGATAGCGTGCAATTATGACTTGACGATAGAACCCTCAGGAAGGATAGTAATAAAACGGTTTTATTACCTGCAAGAGCTTGCTCTGTCGCTCCAGTGCATTTTTCATATTTAATTTATTGTTAATGAATGAAATGAATAAACAGAGACGAAAAAAGATGAAGAGAAATGGAATAAAAACTTCAAAAACAGCTAAACGTTACGGTGCTATGTTTTTTTCGGAGGAGAATACCGTCTGATAGTGACAGATTTATTATTGGCCAACTGCAACGTCTGAAGACTCTTTTTTCTTTAAAATCGATCCTCCCTCTTTGCTCCTCCCCTTTTCTCCTCCTTTTCATTTTTCACTATTCTCTCTTTCTCATTCCATACTCTTATTCTTTTAACCTCTCTATTCAGTTAGCTTTTCCCTTTTATCTTACGATCTCCGTCTTAAACCTTAATTTAATTACTACCTATATATTTTTTCATCTACTAATTATAATTGAGAATGGTGAAGGTTTTCTTTTCAATCATCTTCAACTTCTATCACAATTTTTCGCATCTAAACAGGCTACTCTCTTAACTTGTTCTCTTTTCCTCATTAAACAAAACGTCTACTTATTAGTATAGAATAATTGCCTTACGTGACAGTTTCACAAATTATGGATTCATTTGAAAACTCGTGTTAAATCGTTAAGTATGAAAGGTGAAAAACTGATAGGCAAAACTTTGTCGTATCATGTAAAATCTCGTTTAATATCAATTAATCAACCTATACTTGACGTCCTAAGGTTTTTTCCCGTGAAATTAAAGATGAATTACGTAACGTATAGAATTTCTTTTCTACTTTTTTTGCCTTAAAACTAGTGAAATTAATTAGATAAAAACATTCTAAATTAAAATAATTCAAAGATATTCTGATTTACGATATCATTAACATCTTCAATCACTTAAGACAATTAGACAATTGGCTTTTACGACCTTAAATAGCTATACCAAAATCACAACTTTAAATCTGTCAACTTTTTATATTCTAATTCTTTTTATTTTCCTTTCTCTCCAGTTTCTTTTTTTTATCTTCTAGTCGATTGCCGACAAGAATAATTTTATATACTTTTATTCCTATAGATGGCACTCTACTCCAAACGTACTACTACAATACCAGCTGCAAAATTAGTTTGCACTGCAGTAGCAGATGGAGACTGACAAGAAGCCGGGATGAAACTAGATCAATAGGTAATAACTATTTCAAATGATTTCCAAAAAACGAGAGGTAAGTTATAACATAATACAAGTTTATCAATTTCCGTAAAGAAACATTTATTTAGTTAATTTAAAACAGAAACAAGCTGTAGATAAAAGCGACAATATTAGTAATTTTCTTATAGAGTAGACTATTAATGTAGTTAAACAAGTAGAATAGAAATAAGTACATATATCTAATGATTAGTCTATTTTTCCTTTGTTTCTCTTTCTAAGTATCAACCATTTTTCTTCTATTCTTTCTCCTTTCGCTGCTTAATTACAATTCTATCTATATTCATACAAAATATATAATATACAATATATATATATGATATATGCTGTTTAGACAAAAATAATACTTTACACAAGTCTTTGAATGATAATTGGACAATAGTTACAAGTTGTTGCAAATTGAATAGGAATTAATGGCAGTATTTATGTTATACGTATTTTTTATGATAAATTTTTTAATTATTGGAAAGAGTGAACAGATTAGAAGTAGTTTAATGTAAACATATTGAATAAATACAATATACATTCAAGTGTTTTTATACTATGCAACACTTCAGAAGAAATCTATTAAAAGAAAAGTTAAAAGTTGTTTTCACAATGACTTTGTAAAGATTATATAACTAAACAGTTGTAATTATATAATACAATATGTGTAGCCAATATAGATACCCTAAATGATGTATTTATATTCATAAACAAAGGAAAATGCTACTAGTTATTTATAATGATCAGAATATACAATATATATATATATATATTTATATATAGTGTACATATATACTGTATATGCCTACATCCATGTTTAATCTTTTTCCTTCCTCTCCTTTATCTTGTCATTCTCATCATTAATATTAAATACTATTAAAAAGTCGATAGAAAGTAAAGTATTTAAATAAATAAACAAATATATACAGTATATATATATATATACATACATAATAATATATATTGTAAGTGTTCTCCCCTTTGAAAAACTATCCAACTGAAAGAGAGTGCTATTATGACAAAGAGAAGGATCTTAAATAAATTGACTTCCTTCTCTTTTATTAAGATAACCTTGATTATAAGATTTAATTGTAACTTTCTTCGTCAAGGTATAAGTATTGATCCTGATATTTTCAAGACTAGTCTAGGTGGAAAAGTCAAGCGAAACGTATGACTTGTACTTTAATCAGTATTTTGTTTTAAACATTTCCTTATTCATTATCGATATTTGTTTGAATGGAGGAAAAAGTGAGAAGATCACAGCGACAGTTTAAACTTTAATAATGAAAGATCACGCAGTTAATAGGTTCATTTATATGAAAAGATATTTTTACACTGTTAACATGAATATGTTGAAAATAAAGAACAAGTAGAGTTAATTAGGTGATCGTTCAACATTTGTACATTGTTGTAACTCTTTTTCAGCTTTAAAGAATGATGGTTAACTGTAAATTGGCTCTCGAATTGTACAAGAGAAGATTTGTTTCCAACTCGTCGTTACAATCGTTACAGGATTGCGCTAATCAATCATTCTTTTTGAGAAATGATAGCGTCTCTATGGAATTTACCGATGACCAAAGATTGCGAAAAATCGGTATGGACATTTATGCATTCTGCACACCGATAATTATTGCAGTTGGTCTGTTTGGTAATTTGGTCTCTTTAAAAAGTAAGTAATTTTTTTCTCCCGTCTAATTCCATAGGAAAAAAACACTACAGAATACATACAAAGCATTCATTGACCCCCTCTCAGAGTTTCTCGTCAAACCTATTGACGTAGAAGTTGGAAACTGGAGTCGTTAAGGTTGATGAACCCGTGTTTTTCTAAATGATAAGAACTTATACGATTGTACTCCCTTAATTTTCGTTTTGTAAACTTTGTATATAAAATTCTATGTATTTTTTTCCCTTTTCTCACCGCCTCTTCAATAAGATATTGAAGGGAAAAGGTCAAAATCAGGTCTAGGATATGAAGAATACGAAATTAAATTTAAGCTTCGTAAAAGTCATTAGGCCTTGAGATTTACCAATTTGCTTTCCCTCTTAGCAAAGAGAAAAATATGACGAAAAGAGAGAGAGCGAGAAACAGCTACCATTTGAATCTCGCAAAAGTACTCAGAGAACGAGAGTATTGTTTCTTAGAAACTACCAATATTACACCACACTTAGCTCCTAGCCATTTTATGCATTTTGTCATTTTTATTTAATTTCAGCTAATTTAATTATTCATTCTTTTTTAAGATTTTTTTCCTTATCAATCTTTATAAAGCTCGTTTAGTTTGTTTTGCATATATTTAAATTATAAATTGACCTATCCAGAAGAAAATTACAAATAATAATAGATGGTTTGTTTTCAACTTTATCTCTAGTAAGCCTTTAAAATTTGCAAAAAGATATAATTTTGAGAGTTTTATGTCAGAAAAGTCATATCTGCATTTCTTAGATTGCTGTGTAAACAGATAAAAAGGTAGATAGAAAAAGAAGTAGAGGATGGCAAGATAACAGAGGGAGGAGGGTGGGAGAAGAGAGAAGCAAAATGCAGAATATTCGCATCTTAACTCTATTAATATTTAGGACTGTATGATATTTTTTTTACAGTGCAAATACTTCCTTATGCAGTATAATAAATCTGCAATAACGTACATTTTTTTGACA